CAATAAAATGCAAATAATAAGCATAAAGTTCAAAAATATCCATTTGGAATATTGAATATTATATATATTAGTAAACGCATAAAATGTCTCTAAAAATCTCTAAATTTATTAAAAACCTGCTTAAAATGTTAAAAATGTATCAAATCATATAAATACAAGGCGATTATATTGCAATAACAAAGATAAATAACATTTGTAATATAATAGAAAAAATGGATTAAAATTTTCTAAGTTGATGAAGGTGTTCGTGTAATAATTGGAAAATTTCTAAGTTAATGAACGTGTTCTTGTAATGTTCCCTTATATTAGGGCGTTGTCGGAGACACATACCGAAGGTTGTACATATATATGGGGTGGTCGGCTGACCGACTGCTAGTACTAAGGTTGCACAATGACTAGTCCTATATTAGGGACTTAACATAGTAAGGTCTGACGAACCAAAGCATTAATATAGAAGGTCTCTATGATGCATAAGCATTATGATAGCAGAGTTATGACTTGAAGTCCCATATGAATAAGACATACAGTAGTATGGTCTATGAAATAAAGCAAATATGTGGAAGGTCTCAAATATGTAAAAGCATTATATTGAAAGAAATGGGACTTAAAAAGGATTATTATAGTGGCGTGTAGGTTGCTTCGCAGCCTCTGAGACCGAGGTAAACTTGGACTCACTAACCGATGTGTCCTAGACATATCATCTTAGTGCCGGTGGTAAGCGGGTTTGTTGTAGCAATACGACTTGCCCGTGGACATCGCACACCCCTACCGGTTGTGGGCGGCGTCTTAGCGCATAGCGTTATGTTACGTCGGCTATCTTTCGGATTAGGGTGAGTGTGTTTGGTAGTACTTTTAAGTGCAGCAAGCATACTCAACTTCATGTCTTAGTGCAATAGCGCTATGATACGTGGAGTTTTGGCTACTGACGTCTTAGTACCGTACTACTATGATACGTTAGTGGTATTTTTAGTTAACAACATTATCAAATTTTGTTACCAAAGTTGATAGGGATCATGTGGGTGTGTTGTGAGGGGGCGCCATCCGTATGATAGTTGCATTGATGCTTACTGCTACTTGCAGTATTGTGTCTTGTGATGGATCTGCGGGTGTGCTGCACCTGATTCGATGCATCTTGTGGTTCTGGTCGATGGAGGTATGCGGGTGGTGATGTCTGCTGGGACTGTATGGGAGACCTTGGGATGGTGTAAGCCCGACGATAGTCGTATTGATGCTTGTTGCATTTTGTAGCATTGCGTCTCTACGATGGTTGTTTGGCGGGTCGCTATTCTCAATGGCGCTCTCTGCGTCTTGGTTTGACTCACAACCTAAGTAGCTTTGCCCAAGTCGGGTCCCTTCATTGCGGGGCTGCAGACTGTCTGCCCTCCATGATGTTTTATATAACAACTTAATAATATATCTCTATAAAGTTCCCACCTTTGAGAGATTGAAGGCAACTTGTTGGTGGGTGAGACAAACATGATCGAAAAATGCACATACTCAACGTCAGTGACACAAACCCTTTCTGATGGCGAATTATTACTATTATCTTATAACTGCCTATTGGCTATATCTGCCATTGTATTGGTTGGTGGAGCATATGTGTTGACCTCATGCGGGTGGTAGCTGGAGGGAGAATCTGAGGAGGCTCTCAAGGCTGCGGCCGAAAGCCGCGCAACGTGGGACCCCATTCCCTTGAGGTGAGCGGTAGACTCATGACACGCTCTGCGGCCAATTGGCCGTGCTGAACATGCAATTGGTGCTTATGCCTTACACTTACATCACGTCTGCAGAAACGGCGGTCTGGCAGGTGGTGGCGCTCACGGAGGGCTTTTTATGGTCAGTGTGCCTATTGTTGCCTAACCCGTGTGACGTACATTCACTGTGGCTGGAATTGATCGTATTCTGTATGGCGTTTACACGCATTGACATGCGCGACTTCGGTCGATGTTTGTGCTTACGCACTATCAAGGGGCCAAGTCCTCTTTTACTGGTTCGCCAGTTATTTTGCTGTGGACTACGGTCCAGTTCCCAACTTTGCGTACCCTTCGGGGGGAGCGCATTAAAATGGTTGGCGCTCACCGTGCGCGGCGTGTGTGGGGCCGTGTACCTCCTCCACATTTTTTTAAAATGTGGGAGAGCGAAGCCCTTGTAACTGGTATTTGATATAAATATTGTGAGCCTTTTCCAAGCGGGAAGGGATTAATTAATAAGGAATTGACTGTTGTGAACCAGATACAAGTGGAATAGGGACAATTTATTGTTCTTAACCTTTTTGAGCTCCGTCTTCGTGAACGGGGTTCTCTAGCTTATAAGACTCTACCAACAGCTTTCGATTGCTCTCGTGAATATTCATTCTTCCAAGATACACCTAAAAGAACTAAGTTACTATACAAACACAACGTAAAAAAGGGTCCTAACTAAGACGATCACGCCATAAATTTATTAAACGGCCTATATTTAAACCTTTAGAAAGATCAAGTTATACTGGTCACGTAAATTAGATATATTTATATATTTTACAGATATAGATTCTAAAGAAATACAAGTATAAGTGGATATATAGTAGAAGAGAAAAAAGATGGGGGGGGGTTCGTTACAATTTGGTGCCGTGACCAGGATAGAGGTTAAATTTTAAATAGGAGGCCGGTAATATAAAATTATGAGGTAGGCTATATGCCTACAATTTGTTGTCCGTGAAATGGAGAGGTGTCTTGGAGAGTGGTGTTTGCTGGGGGTGGTTGAGAGTCTGGGGGTGGGGCTTAAATATTAAAATTGAGTAATAATATAGGAGGTGTGTGCATAACGGAGCGAAATAATAAAAAGTGAAATAAGTGGAAAGACTCAATTAAACTAAGTGAAGGACACAACAGGTGTAAAAAAAAAAACTGCAATTCTATATATTATAAAGTGAAATAAGTGGAAAAACTCAATTAAAGTAAGTGAAGAACACAAAAAGTGAGAAAAAAAAGCAAGTGGAAATAAAAATTAAAAATGGCTAAAAATAAGAAAAAATCAACCTCAATTAAGGCTAAGCCTAAAGATGAGATGAAAATGCTTCAGAAATTAATTAAGAATGCAGTGAAAACCTTTGAGGTTAAAATAAAGGATCTTGAGGAAAAATTTATTAACCAAACGAAAGATTACCAAATTAAAATAAATCAAGAAGAGGTGTCCGGGGCGAGCACCTCTCATGTAAATGATCCTAGACAAAATATTGTATATAATGTACATAATGTAACAATAGAAAAGCCGAAATTTGGTAATGGAAATACTCATCCAGTATCATTTTTGGAAGATCTCACCAATTATTTAAAGAAAGTTCCATCTAATGGTCTCGAAATTTCGATTGCACAAGAGTGCTTAGTAGGTGAAGCAAAGTATTGGGCTCGCATTAATAATGTGCGTTGGACAACTTTTGATGATTTTAAAGCTGACTTCCTAAGAGTGTTTTGGGGTGAAGAAGAACAAAATAAAGTAAAGAGATTCCTTGTGCAAAATAAATGGAATAGAAGTACACACCCCACCATGGTTAGTTATTTTCTTTATGTGGTTGAGAAGGCACAAACATTATCATATCCGATACCTGAAAAACAATTAGTAACTGATGTCATCAGACATTATCCTAAAACTGTGCAGCAATTATGGAGAATAGCTAAAATTGAGACAATAATAGATACGACAGATTTCTTAAGAAACTTAGATGACATCGACAAACAAGATGAAGGTCCTGAACCTTACTATAATGAGAAAAGGAGGAAGTTTAATAATAATACGGAGCAAAAACATAAAGAAATACAACAATCATACAAAACATGGCGTAAACCCGAAGAGGGAAAAAAGAAGGTTAATGAAGTACATGAAATACATTTCACTAATGACCAACCTGATGTTACGGCCCCTGAGCCAAATTTAGAGCTGTAGAGGTACCGAACTAGTTCCCGATTCGACCCCTTACAATGTAAAAGGGAACAAAGCATTAAATATGTTATTAAAACTGGGTTGGCGACCTGGTCAAACATTGGGTAAAAACAATAGAGGGTTGCGAAAACCTATTACTTTAAAAGCAAATTTTAATAGAGAAGGCCTTGGTTATAACGACAATGTAAGTAGCATATTAAACACCTTAAAAGCCAGGTCGGACTTGCCCATAACGGAGTTATTCGTGCAAACCGTCTTCGAGGAAGACGAAGATAAATATCAAAGGGAATTTATAGGGAATATGAGATCTGAAATTAAAGTTTCAATATTTGACAAAGAAATAGACGTGCTCCTCGACACTGGGAGCGATGTTACATGCATTTCAGAAAGTTTATATTTACAAATTAAAGATAATAATCGTAAAATATCAATAATGCCAGTTAAAGCAATGCAAATAAAAGGTGCTGTTGGGCAGCGCAGCACAAAAATACAACAGATGATCATATTGCCTATAAAGATAGATGAAGTAGTCTTTGAAACAAAAACTTTAATTGTAGGTAATTTAATAAGACCTTTAATATTAGGCTTTGACTGGCTCAAGAGAAATAAAATATTGATTAATTTGAGAAATACTACTGTTCGAATAGAATTTAAAGTGAAAAACAAAGACTACTTTATACCTTTCAAATGTAATAATAAATCTGTATTACATAATAACTGGATCAAACAATGTACCGATGATCCCTTAATAAATATAAAAATAGGATCTACATTGGAGGTCTCTGCAAGGGCAAAACTTAGTAAGGTTTTGGAAAAGCATAAGAATATGTTTTCGAGCAAATTGGGAAGAGCCAATTGCTATGAGCATAAAATTGAAATGATCGATGATGAACCTATAGTTACTAGGTCCTATCCCATTCCATATGCATATAGAGCGAAAATGGAAGAAAAGTTAAATGAAATGGAACAAGCTGGTATCATCACAAGGACATAAACGCCTTACAGTAGTCCATTGACATTCACTCTTAAAAAAGACGGCTCAATTAGAGTTCTGCTTGATGCCAGAAAGCATAAATAAGAAAATGGTTGCAGAAACAGAGAAACCACCTATACAATTAGATGTTTTGAATTCATTTCACGGAGCGAATTATATCACTACCATTGACTTAAATAATGCATATTTTCAAATTCCGATAAATAAAGATGGTAGAAAATATACTGGATTCACATTCAATGGAAAGTCATATGTATATAATGTTTTGCCGCAAGGATTAAAAACATCAGTAGGAAGCTTTAGCAGAGCCATGAATTTAATATTAGGACCAGAAGTCCAAGAATTTTGTGTGAACTATTTAGATGATCTAGCCATTATTACAACAGGAACGTTAGATAAACATTTGGAGCACATTGATATTGTTTTAAGTAAATTGAACAAAGCTGGCTTAACGTGTAACTTGCAGAAATGTGAATTTATTTGTAAAGAAATTAAAATGCTGGGTTTTATAATTTCAACAGAAGGCATAAAGACAGATCCCGATAAGATTCGAGCGATCCAAGAGTTTCCAGCACCTAAAAAGATTAAACAATTAAGGGCCTTTTTAGGTCTATGCAATTTTTATAGAAGGTTTATACCAAATTACAGCGAGAGCATAATACCGCTCTGTGAATTACTTAAAAAGGGACGAAAGTTCCAATGGAGCGGTAAAGAACAGAAGGCATTTGATTTTATAAAACAACAATTTATTAATACAATACAATTGCATCATCCAGACTTTACTAAGCCGTATTATTTACAAACAGATTGTTCCGGTGTGGGTATGGCCGGAGTACTATATCAGATAGATGATAATAATGAAATGAGAATTTTAGGCTATCATAGTAAAGCCTTAAAAGGCCCCGAATTAAATTGGTCTGTTACTGAACAAGAGTTTTATGCTGTAATAAGCTGCCTAAAGAAATTTGAAACATATTTGAGGGGCAGTAAAGTAATAATACTAACTGATCATAAAGCATTATTGTTTATTAATAATATGAAGTTATTCAATGGTAGAGTAACCCGATGGATTTTGTATATAGAACAATTTAATTATGAAGTACAGCATATATCGGGTAGACGTAATATTGTTGCAGATGTGCTATCACGTTATCCTCCTGATGGCGATTTAATACAAGAGGATAAAAATAATAGTTTAGAAATTGCTTACACAGAGAGCGAACCGAATATTGAGTTGATAGAAAAATTAAAATCCTTATCAGTATATCAATTACAAGATTCAGAGTCGTTGGCTATTATTGAAAAGTTAAAGACATTAAATACTTCCATAATAAAACAAAACAATAAATTTAAAAGATATAGTTTGAAAATTGATGTATTATATTACAAAACGAATTTACAAGAAGTAACATATTTACCTAAAGCATTGAGACAAGATATTATAAATCAAGTGCATGTCGAAATGGGTCATCAAGGACCCTATAAGGTAATTAAATATGTGAGAGACAGATTCTTTTGGAAAGGTTTAACAAAAGATATTAAAAACCAATTAAGGGCTTGTCATTTATGTCAGTTATCTAAGAAAAGCAATATAACATATGTGGGTCCCTGCAAATCTATAATAACAGAAAACATTGGCGATATAGTCATGGCAGACTTATATGGACCACTTGTATCAGGTACCTTTGGGTACACTTTCATATTTGTCATTCAAGATTCATTCAGTAAATTTATCAAATTATATCCTTTAAAACAGTCAACAGCAAAGTCTGTTGTAACAAAAGTAAAGCATTTTGTTGAGATTATAAAGCCCAAGGCAATAATGACAGATAATGGAAAACAGTTCGTAAGTAATCACTGGAAACAATCAATGAGTGAATTAAATATAAAGCCAATATATACCACAGTTAGAAATCCTAGACCAAATACAACAGAGCGAGTAAATAAAGAGTTGAGCAGATTATATAGGACGCTTTGTCATACTAACCACAAAGATTGGGCGTTAATATTGCCAACAATAGTACAGGCTTCACGCCTTGTGAGATTCTTTATGGTGAGTCTAATGAGATGTCTTTTGACAAAGTAATTTCCAAAAGTAAAGACAAACATAATGTCGAACAAATTAGACAACAAATGCGTAAAAATTTAAAAGAGGCAAGTCGAATAAGAAACACAAAATTTGATAAGCGAAATAGATTAATAAAATATAATATTGGTGACTTAGTAAAAATTTCAAGATCTAGTAGATCAGACGCTGATAATAAAGTTATTAGTAAGTTCAATTTCGCATATGAAGGACCTTATGTAATAGCAGCCGTACCATTTGACAATGTATATACCTTAGCAAATCCAGAGACAAACGAAATTAGAGGAATTTTCAATGCTATTCACTTATTAAAATATTTTAAATAATAATTTCTTTTTGTATAAATTAGAGTAATTAAATAAATATTGTAACATAAAAGGGTTTTGTGGGTGGCCCATGGAAATAATTGTTTAAGTTAAAGGTCTAAAATTATTAAAGTTATGTGCAAGAGATTTGTTATATGATAGAAGAACGTTATTAATATATAATGAAGAGTTGTAAATATAGATCGTAAGATAATTTTGTAATCATTTTTATTAAATAAATATGGGAGTTGGGTCAGGGTGAATGGCTCAAACACATTTATCCTATGTGGTATCGAACTGACCTCAACAAATATCCAACTGGATTCTATGCACATAAAGTGTGACACTATCGAAAATAATGTTTCAAAGATTTAAAGATAAATTAATAAAATAAGAAATCGACAATTGACTGCAAACTTTATTAACAACACGATATACAATAACTTGAATTATGGTGTTATCACAATGTGATAATTCTGGTTGAAGGGGTGTTGGTGGCGGCCATTCTCTGGGGCAGGGGGATTTGATAACATATGCCGTATTGTAACAGATTAAAAGAGGAAAGAACAGATATATAAACAATTATGTGAGTGTAGTGTATATGCTCTCAAAATACTAAAATTTTATATTAACGACTCCACTATGTGTATCATTAACATAAAATTTGGGGGTGGATTGTGACGCCTCATAATTATTATTAATAAATAATAATTAAATTCATTATACAGACATTTAAAAATGTCTTAGAAATTATAATTTAAACAATAAAATGCAAATAATAAGCATAAAGTTCAAAAATATCCATTTGGAATATTGAATATTATATATATTAGTAAACGCATAAAATGTCTCTAAAAATCTCTAAATTTATTAAAAACCTGCTTAAAATGTTAAAAATGTATCAAATCATATAAATACAAGGCGATTATATTGCAATAACAAAGATAAATAACATTTGTAATATAATAGAAAAAATGGATTAAAATTTTCTAAGTTGATGAAGGTGTTCGTGTAATAATTGGAAAATTTCTAAGTTAATGAACGTGTTCTTGTAATGTTCCCTTATATTAGGGCGTTGTCGGAGACACATACCGAAGGTTGTACATATATATGGGGTGGTCGGCTGACCGACTGCTAGTACTAAGGTTGCACAATGACTAGTCCTATATTAGGGACTTAACATAGTAAGGTCTGACGAACCAAAGCATTAATATAGAAGGTCTCTATGATGCATAAGCATTATGATAGCAGAGTTATGACTTGAAGTCCCATATGAATAAGACATACAGTAGTATGGTCTATGAAATAAAGCAAATATGTGGAAGGTCTCAAATATGTAAAAGCATTATATTGAAAGAAATGGGACTTAAAAAGGATTATTATAGTGGCGTGTAGGTTGCTTCGCAGCCTCTGAGACCGAGGTAAACTTGGACTCACTAACCGATGTGTCCTAGACATATCATCTTAGTGCCGGTGGTAAGCGGGTTTGTTGTAGCAATACGACTTGCCCGTGGACATCGCACACCCCTACCGGTTGTGGGCGGCGTCTTAGCGCATAGCGTTATGTTACGTCGGCTATCTTTCGGATTAGGGTGAGTGTGTTTGGTAGTACTTTTAAGTGCAGCAAGCATACTCAACTTCATGTCTTAGTGCAATAGCGCTATGATACGTGGAGTTTTGGCTACTGACGTCTTAGTACCGTACTACTATGATACGTTAGTGGTATTTTTAGTTAACAACATTATCAAATTTTGTTACCAAAGTTGATAGGGATCATGTGGGTGTGTTGTGAGGGGGCGCCATCCGTATGATAGTTGCATTGATGCTTACTGCTACTTGCAGTATTGTGTCTTGTGATGGATCTGCGGGTGTGCTGCACCTGATTCGATGCATCTTGTGGTTCTGGTCGATGGAGGTATGCGGGTGGTGATGTCTGCTGGGACTGTATGGGAGACCTTGGGATGGTGTAAGCCCGACGATAGTCGTATTGATGCTTGTTGCATTTTGTAGCATTGCGTCTCTACGATGGTTGTTTGGCGGGTCGCTATTCTCAATGGCGCTCTCTGCGTCTTGGTTTGACTCACAACCTAAGTAGCTTTGCCCAAGTCGGGTCCCTTCATTGCGGGGCTGCAGACTGTCTGCCCTCCATGATGTTTTATATAACAACTTAATAATATATCTCTATAAAGTTCCCACCTTTGAGAGATTGAAGGCAACTTGTTGGTGGGTGAGACAAACATGATCGAAAAATGCACATACTCAACGTCAGTGACACAAACCCTTTCTGATGGCGAATTATTACTATTATCTTATAACTGCCTATTGGCTATATCTGCCATTGTATTGGTTGGTGGAGCATATGTGTTGACCTCATGCGGGTGGTAGCTGGAGGGAGAATCTGAGGAGGCTCTCAAGGCTGCGGCCGAAAGCCGCGCAACGTGGGACCCCATTCCCTTGAGGTGAGCGGTAGACTCATGACACGCTCTGCGGCCAATTGGCCGTGCTGAACATGCAATTGGTGCTTATGCCTTACACTTACATCACGTCTGCAGAAACGGCGGTCTGGCAGGTGGTGGCGCTCACGGAGGGCTTTTTATGGTCAGTGTGCCTATTGTTGCCTAACCCGTGTGACGTACATTCACTGTGGCTGGAATTGATCGTATTCTGTATGGCGTTTACACGCATTGACATGCGCGACTTCGGTCGATGTTTGTGCTTACGCACTATCAAGGGGCCAAGTCCTCTTTTACTGGTTCGCCAGTTATTTTGCTGTGGACTACGGTCCAGTTCCCAACTTTGCGTACCCTTCGGGGGGAGCGCATTAAAATGGTTGGCGCTCACCGTGCGCGGCGTGTGTGGGGCCGTGTACCTCCTCCACATTTTTTTAAAATGTGGGAGAGCGAAGCCCTTGTAACTGGTATTTGATATAAATATTGTGAGCCTTTTCCAAGCGGGAAGGGATTAATTAATAAGGAATTGACTGTTGTGAACCAGATACAAGTGGAATAGGGACAATTTATTGTTCTTAACCTTTTTGAGCTCCGTCTTCGATTGCTCTCGTGAATATTCATTCTTCCAAGATACACCTAAAAGAACTAAGTTACTATACAAACACAACGTAAAAAAGGGTCCTAACTAAGACGATCACGCCATAAATTTATTAAACGGCCTATATTTAAACCTTTAGAAAGATCAAGTTATACTGGTCACGTAAATTAGATATATTTATATATTTTACAGATATAGATTCTAAAGAAATACAAGTATAAGTGGATATATAGTAGAAGAGAAAAAAGATGGGGGGGGGGTTCGTTACAATATGTTGAAAAAGCGCGCGGTGCGCGGTTCTCTTTCGCGTATAGCTCGCGACTAGGATAGTAAACTAGTAATTTAACAGTGGTAAAATGCGCGCAGAAGAAGACAACGTAGTCAACAGTGGTAGAGCCAGGCGGCAGCTTTTGCTGTCGCACGGATGGGCCGGCTCGAACCGGGGTGATACCACGACCTCACAGAATACCAGCGTAAAGTAGAGGTTTACCTCTGCGTTTCGCTTGGTGAGTGCAGGTGGCCGGAGGCCCTTTTTACTGGAAATGAGGCATTCCATCCTAGTCCTCACGGGTGACAACGCATCTAAATTTTTATTCGCAAACTCCTCGTTTATAAATGTAGATGTAGATGTCTATGGGCCACAGCAACCACTTACCATCAGGTGGACTGTGTGCTCGTTTGTCACCCTATCCTATAAAAAAAAATTTGGAAAATTTAGCTTAATAGTTTAAAGCAAGAAAGAAGAAGACAATAAAGAAGTGATAGGAAAGTAGTAAAAGTTTCAACTCTTATGGGAAATTACGAAGATAAAATCACTGTTTCATTTCCTACTGCATGTTCCAAATAAGTTGAAGATACAGTCCATTCAAAGGACGTCAAGACCGGGACCACTCCAGAGGGACCCGTAATCTTAGTCGTGTCTAACCTTTCTTTTAAGAGAGGGCAACAGACGTTCTTGTGTGACATTCCTTCCTCGGGGGTCACATCCACATCGTTGTTCCCGAACCCAACGTGGTGCGATTTCAGTTGCAAGGGGTAGAACGTCCATGATTGATTGACTCCTGTCTGCTGGACCCTTTCACTGCTGAGGACATTCTTCTGTATTACATCCTATAAACATTATATAAAGATCCAGAATTAAAACCATCGTAGGCCATACATATACTTGTTCCGTGCAGGATTCGAACTCCTGGCCCTCAGCGCCATAACTCATTACCATTCGCTCCAGCTTCGTCGGTTTCTCTGGTTCTGTGAAAATCTTCATTTTAAATTCTATAATTTAGAGAAAATCCGATCATAGACCTGGATACATTTAAAAAAGTAATAACGGGGTTCTAAAAACTAAAAATAATAAAATAGTTTCCACATATATTTTAATAGCTGACATCGGTGTTAAGACAATGGATGGAAGAATTAATGCCCCAATTTCAGAAGCTTTTTATGATTTTAAATCCTGTTTTTATTTTATTTATAAAGTTTAATTATATTATTATTATTAAAAAAAATTTAGTAACCATTTGTAATTCCAACTAGCTCAATTTTATGGTGAAAAATTAAATTAGTATGCGCGTTAAGTACTCGTAACAGATTACACGCTTTTTAATATTTATAAGGTGACACCTCTTCATCAGTCTTGTTCAATTAATTTCAATAGGTATCGTTTAAAATTGCAACGGTTTTTTTTTATTAAACTGCAGACTTCATAATTTACATTAGTTACATAAAAAAAAATTATATTCATTATATAAATGTTGTACGTACCAAAAATTTAAATTTTTCCCAAATAAGAGCACTTGAAATACAATATATTTCAGAGGAGACAACGCATCTATGGCATACTATTTTACGCTTATCAACAGCTGGACTGTGAACCAGTTAAGCACTCTAATATTTTTTTATTGGATTATTTATCTAAATCATATAAGAATCTTCTAAACATAATTATTATAATAATAATAAATTTTTATACGTGG